ACAAGCAATGTTGCGTCACCCAAGCAGCTACCAAGCAATGTTGCGTCACCCAAGCAGCTACCAAGCATTGTTGCGTCACCCAAGCAGCTACCAGGCAATGTTGCGTCACCCAAGCAGCTACCAAGCATTGTTGCGTCACCCAAGCAGCTACCAGGCAATGTTGCGTCACCCAAGCAGCTACCAAGCAATGTTGCGTCACCCAAGCAGCTACCAAGCAATGTTGCGTCACCCAAGCAGCTAACAAGCAATGTTGCGTCACCCAAGCAGCTACCAAGCAATGTTGCGTCACCCAAGCAGCTACCAAGCATTGTTGCGTCACCCAAGCAGCTACCAAGCATTGTTGCGTCACCCAAGCCGCTATAACAAGCAGTTCTGTTGTCTATAAAGCTTCAGTGTGTGGCGGTGAATATCTGTGGAACCTCTAGTTCAGATAGTTGTATTTTAGGTCTGTGTCCCAGACTTTGTCGCAACATTTCGATAAATCTTGGGCTAGTCGGTAGAGTGACGGTTGTATCGTGTCATGCAGGTCGGCGTTCAATCCCCGACGGTTCAATTAATTGGGCACCATTCATTACCCCCCGTCCCATCCCAAATCCTTATCCTGATCCCTTCCAAGTGCTATACAGTCGTAATGGCTCGGCGCGTTCTCCATATAATTGCCTTGCATTGCGTTTCATTTCTAAGCAGTAATTACACTGCACATTTATCGTCATGGGTTTTGGCTATATATTCATATACCAGGGCTATAGCATTATGGACGCCTCTGTGGTTTCCGAATCCTTGTTGACTGATGATATATTTTTGACTGATGTTATAATTGATGTATATATATATGATGGTGAATGACTAATGTTATAATTTTTTTTTTAAATTCATTTGCTTCACCAATTTGGGGTTGATGCGTTTTTTTAATATTTTGCCTGGTGCCCCAAGTAAGGAAATTGGTTTTGGGAATTAATCTGATAGTGTGAGTGTTGAATTAGGAGGAGGAATGGTCCAGATGCAAGAGCTGCATTTAATATCTGCGTAAATTGATGGATTGCCGTCGTTGGAAAGTTTGTGAACATCTGTTTGTTTACTGTTGCCCGGTGTTCTTAACTGTTACTGTTGCCCGGTGTTCTTAACTGTTACTGTTGCCCGGTGTTCTTACCTGTTCTTCTTAGAACTACTAATTGTTTTTGGACCTACTTGATGGATATGTGGCTTGAAAGGTGGCAATCTTGGCGAATGTTTTTAAGGTTTATTGTGTTGGAAGTGAAGTTGTAGCTTTGTTATGAACAGTCGAGCATTGTCTTGTCTCCAACCTCTCCCACGATCATCTGTGTCTTTCTATCCACCGCTCATCCATTCCCCACCGCCTACCATATCCCCTCCTTTCCCATCCCCTCTCAACATTCCTCTTTTCCCATCCCCGTACTAACCCTCCTTCTCTCCCCACCCCCACCCACAGAGCGACGGTCTCGCTTCATGCAGGTCGGCGTTCAATCCCCGACCGTCCAAGTGGTTGGGCACCATTCCTCCCCCCGTCCCATCCCAAATCCTTATCCTGACCCCTTCCAAGTGCTATATAGTCGTAATGGCTTGGCGCTTCCTCCTCATAGTTCCCTTCCCTTCTCCCTCCTCCACCCCTTCACAATTCTCATCCTCCACCCCACCCCTGCCACCCCTCTTTCTTCCCCCCATCAACCCCCACTATTTCCCATCAACCACACCCCCCCCCCCCCCATTTTCTCATTATCATACCCCCACGACGTGCTGAAAATTTTTATTTAATTTTTTAAACCATTGAGATCAAATTAGTAACATGTTTTAACCTTAATCTGTCCCCCGAAAATTTAGGGTCACCTATTCTGAAGGTTTAAATGGCCCACGAGGCGCTAAATACATGTTAAAATATTTATGCTTGCCTAATGCGAGAGTAACAGTTTAACAGAACGGATGCGGAGGCTTGTGGATAGTTGGGTTGCGTGGCCGTGAGTGTTTGGCTGCCTGGTTGCAGCATGGTCGGAGGAATGTCAGTAACACGCTGGGTCGGGGTTGGTTGATTTTGGGGTTGTCAGGTTTGGTTGCAAATAGCAAACTTGTGGTGGAGGGGGAGAGGAAGGAAGTGTCTTAATGATATGCATGGTTGTTAATAGCATGTTTAAGGAACATCATCTCCTTCTCCAGGAGCGAGAACCACCTCCTCCAGGAGCGAGAACCACCTCCTCCAGGAGCGAGAACCACCTCCTCCAGGAGCGAGAACCACCTCCTCACCTCTTCCTAAACCCCCAAAAAATGTTACCTCAAGGAACTGGCTGATAAGAATTACATTTTTATAACAAACAACTCTCACCTTTCTCAACTTTGTGTCTTCCCTCCCTCCCTTCCCCTCCTTTAAGACGCCACCAACCTACCTACCCCCTCTCTCCACCTTCCAGACACAACATAACCCTTCACTTCCCCTACTTTCAAGACCTTCCATTCCCTTTCCAGAAAGCTTCTTCCTCCCTCCTTCCCTAATCCCCGCTTTGCAGACAACTTGTTCTTATTTCATACTTTCCCAACTTTCAGACCCGCTCTCCTATTTCCTTCCTCCGCACAATACATGTCTCAACATCGTAGGCAAAAGACCATTATTCTTATCTTCCTGAGAGCCCTGAGAGCCCTGAGAGGCCTCCAGTAATTCCATCATCCTCGAAGTCTCCATTGTTTACAATGAGCCTTGAATCTTCATTATTCCTTGCAAAGTGTATATCATCATATAATATAGACTCACATTCCTTGTGAGTCTATATTATTGCACGAAAAGGTACGTCCCTCTACAACCCCATCCCTATATCTCCCATTTTTCTCCACATCTCTATTTCCTCCAACTTCCCTATTTCTTTCTATCTTACTCTATGGTTCGTGTTTCAAGTATCTGTTCCCATTCCTAACGTCTCTCATTTCACAGTTCCTCAATCTCCACCCATAGCTCTCATTGCTCCTCATCTCCCCCATCTCCATTATCACTTCCCCATCTCTTCCAATTTCCGCATCTTCCCTCATTTCCACCCCCATTATCTACTCCAAGAGTACAAGAGTTATGTTTCCCTATTCACTTCTAAGTGCCAAGAGCATCTTCACCTGGCGACATTTAAGGATTAGACATTACTTATATTGGAATGGATTTATATAACTTAAATTTACAGAAGGCATCATGACACCAGCATGATTGACACAGCATGACATCTTGACACAGCATGACATATTGACACAGATCAGGTGGTGACCAACCCAGGACATGTCTCTGGCTTCTTTAGCATCTTTGGCATCTTTGCTGGCATCTTTGTTTACATATTTGAGAGCAAAACTAGCCGAAAACCGCGTCTTTTCCCTCTAACACGATCATTTAATAGTTTTACATCCAGGTTTCCACTTACTACCGGGTGCTTAGGGGGATTGAACCTTGACGGTACGGTGCCCATATCTGTCCCTTCCAGACTGTGGGACTCGAACCAGGTGTTGTCGCTTGAGTGGCGAGGGCGTTACCACGACGACACGCTGCTGGTGTCACCCACTCCGCTACGACACCACGACGAAATGTCTTGCCTGTGACCTTCGAAGCGGTGAATTGTGAATCAAATTGAAAAATCTCTTTGTTATGTAATGTTGCTCAAGTTATAGAATAAGAAGCAAATTCCGTGCGAATTGGAGAACAATAAGATGAACGCCACGCGGTTAACATTGATAATTTTTATAATGCAAATTATTTGATCAAAGGGAACTATCTTTTGTGGAGTAAAAACCCCCCATTCATTGTCCTCTCACAGGGAAGAATCAGTTGCTAAGGCTTGTGGGAGGAGCTAATTTTGGGCATGCGTGTTCCAGCCCCCACCCACACACTCTCTCTTTCTCTCTCTCTCTCTCTCTCTCTCTCTCTCTCTCTCTCTCTCTCTCTCTCTCTCTCTCTCTCTCTCTCTCTCTCTCTCTCTCTCTCTCTCTCTCTGTCCTGCAATGGTCTCGCTTCATGCAGGTCGGCGTTCAATCCCCGACCGTCCAAGTGGTTTGGGAACTATTCCTTTCCCCCGTCCCATCCTAAATCCTGATCCCATCCAAGTGCTATATAGTCGTAATGGTTTGGTGCTTTCTCTTGATAGTTTCCTTCCTTCCGTCTCTCTCTCTCTCTCTCTCTCTCTCTCTCTCTCTCTCTCTCTCTCTCTCTCTCTCTCTCTCTCTCTCTCTCTCTCTCTCTCTCTCTCTCTTCATACAGCTTAAAGTCCTCAATGTCTAGTTTCCAACGCTACGAGTTACTTGTTAAGTGTAGCGCCTCGAACCTCGACCAGAGAGTTTGTCGTTCCGCGCGTTAGCTCTCTTCCGGAGAGGAAGGGCTGGAATGAAGCTTAATAAGGCTTCTCGTATATAACGTATTAATGGAGAGTTACAGTTAAGTTGTGGCACTTGAAGCATAGATTATATTTGTCTTCGGAAGTGTATCTTAAACCATCCTACAGTGGGAGGTGCATACAGTGTCCCAGTATGGCACTGGGCCTTTGTTTGGCACTTGAGTTGTCTCATTCTTCTCGGTTGGCCCTGGCAAACGCTAGCGATTGGCTGCCATTCTAATCACTCCAATTACAGTTCATTCCTTGAGAAAAAGACCTTGTGTTTAGTCCTCAAACTCATGTTTGTATTACAACAAGTTTTGTAGTATGATAAAGTGTAGGGAAGCCCACGCATTTTTATGTGTTGCTCTGCGCATGCCTGTAGTGTGATTTGGAGTCATACCAACATAAGATATTATCTCTACAATGACAACACATCATGAAAAAATACATTTGCTCATCATCTGGGATTAAAGTCAGCTTACTCATAAATCCGGTGAGTGGATTACACGTCCCAAATTGATGAGGAAGCAAGAAGGGTGAGGTTGGAAGGGTGTGAGAGAGAGGAACGTGTCAGGGATGTGTGTGGTAACAGTGCAGGGAGCACGGTCTCTCACCAGCGTGTAGGTGGAATGGCGTGGCGGAGCTCAGTGGCCCGGTACACCCTGGTGAGGAGAGAACCGCTGCTCCCGGAGCTGGCACGGCTGGTGAGTGTTCAATCCTCGCGGTGTGTCGTCTGCCTCACTTACTCACGCTAGTCTCTCACTCTCACGGCATCGTACCTCGCCTGCACTCTCTGCTTGTGGCTCTTCAAGCACGTCTTGTGTGATGATTACACCTGTAGAGTATTCGGTTACTACCTGTTGCTTGTGGTGATCAGTGATTCACGACGTGATGAGTGGGGGGGTCCTGGGCCGATCATCACGGCCCCCTCCCCCACCATCCCGCAGGGGAGATGATGGGCGCCATGTGTTAAGTGTCATGATACAGGTACCGCCACTCACCCAGAGTGACACAACACGGACACTTGATCCGGATCACAGACACAGGAAGGCCTTTCTCGTGACCTAACTTAGACGTCCGACTTTTCTTTGATCAAGGACAATGGGGACTTTCTGTTGATCAAGTACAAAGGGGACTTTCTGTTGATCAAGTACAAAGGGGACTTTCTGTTGATCAAGTACAAAGGGGAAACTTTCGGTTGATCAAGTACAAAGGGGACTTTCTGTTGATCAAGTACAAAGGGGAACTTTCTGTTGATCAAGTACAAAGGGGACTTTCTGTTGATCAAGTACAAAGGGGAACTTTCTGTTGATCAAGTACAAAGGGGACTTTCTGTTGATCAAGTACAAAGGGGAACTTTCTGTTGATCAAGTACAAAGGGGACTTTCTGTTGATCAAGTACAAAGGGGACTTTCTGTTGATCAAGTACAAAGGGGACTTTCTGTTGATCAAGTACAAAGGGGAACTTTCTGTTGATCAAGTACAAAGGGGACTTTCTGTTGATCAAGTACAAAGGGGAACTTTCTGTTGATCAAGTACAAAGGGGGACTTTCTGTTGATCAAGTACAAAGGCGAACTTTCTGTTGATCAATTACAAAGGGGAACTTTCTGTTGATCAAGTACAAAGGGGGATTTTCTGTTGATCAAGTACAAAGGGGGACTTTCTGTTGATCAAGTACAAAGGCGAACTTTCTGTTGATCAATTACAAAGGGGAACTTTCTGTTGATCAAGTACAAAGGGGGATTTTCTGTTGATCAAGCCAAAGGGGGACTTTCTGTTGATCAAGTACAGAGGGGGAACTCTCTCTGGATCAAAGTCTGAGGGAGATTTTCTCTTGCTCAAGGATAGACAGAATCCACTTCTGGGTCAAAGCCAGAGGGAGGAGATCTGGACATTACTACTCTATATTATTTATCGCAGATAAATCTTAAATAGATCTATAGGCAAAGAAAACACTAATGGACATTTATATGTTTGTCACAGACGACGAGTCTTTTCTTAGTGTGTGATCAATTACGCAACTCTGATGTGCTTTATAGTACGTAAATTCTGATGATAAAGATAGCGACCTTTAACCGAGAAGAAATAAAATCTATGCAAAAAATATTGTGAGAGAAATTAGTCTGAGTTAAACTCGAATTAAGATTGAACAAAATCAAAAGTTTTCAGACCTTTGCCATATTTACCAGTCTTCATGTACTGTGTATAAATAAGTCTGTCTCATAAGGCCATAGTCTGATCAGTCAGGTTATTGGAGTGTGCTCATGTAGTTGACATGAACTTGGGTGAGCTGCTGTAAGCTTAGCCTTCAACAACTTGTCAAGGTCTATGGGTATTTTTTGTTTTATGTTTTGTTAATGGTTGTTCGAATATGGCTTGTAAATGTGACTAGTTTTTAGTACATCCTGTGTGTGTGCTCACCTAGTTGTGCTTGCGGGGGTTGAGCTCTGGCTCTTTTGTTCCGCCTCTCAACTGTCAATCAACAATTACTAACTACTAACGAATTTATTTTTTCCCCATACACACACACACACAGCCTCAGGAAGCAGCTCCACAACAGCTGTCTAACTCCCAGGTACCTATTTACTGATTAGTAACAGGTGGATCAGGGTAAAAGAAACTTCGCCCATTTGTTTCTGCCTGGTCCGGGAGTCGAACCCGGGCTACAGAATTACGAGTCCTGCGTGCTGTTCACTCAGCTACCAGACCCCTTAATGTGTGTGTGTGTGTGTGTGTGTGTGTGTGTGTGTGTGTGTGTGTGTGTGTGTGTGTGTGTGTGTGTGTGTGTGTGTGTGTGTGTGTGTGTGCGTGTGTCCAGCGGCCCTGTGTCCACCCCAGGTAGAATAAGCATCAACTCTCCCCTTTTAAGAAGTCAGGACTAACACCCCCATTTCCTTCAATTCACCAGGAAACCTTATGGAATCAAAGCAACGTCTCCCAGAGCCTTGCTACATAGTCCCCAGTTGCAAGAAGTATCTCAGTTTATTACTCTCCTGTTAATAAAAGTAAAAGCTTCAAGAAACATGAGAGTGTGACACAATCTCTTGTCGTTTCTCATCGGATGCCTCGCTCACCTACCACGGAGCGGGAAGCTTAACAACTTCAGTAGTTTGGGCTATAAAGATCACTTGAAGAAGAAATAAACTAGTCTACCTTCCTCCTCCTTCAACAAAAGCACCTGCTATAGAACTGTAAACACTAAATCATCTGAAAACCCTGAAATTAGAGCCCAAATTTGAATGGAAATAGAAGTTTGGGATTAAGAAGGTTCAATCAAAACTACTATAAGCGAGGCTCTAATTACTACTAGAGACATTACCACAGCTCAAGCTCTACGAGTCAAACACCCACTTAGAGCCGTACTTGACAGCAGTAATCACCAACACTAACCAGAACTAAAAGCAGAACACATCAAGAATTTGAAAACCAATAACCAGTCGTGTCTTAAGGGGGCTTCACGAAGCTACAACCCATCACATCAAATATATCACCTGACCAGCACTTGGTGATGCTAGTAAGGGTCACTTGGGTGATGGTCTTTCTGGCTAGCAATGTTCCCAAGGTCATCAGGCCTCTACCTTTATTGGGGGAGGATGGCGTGGCTCTCTGTGTCCTAAAAAAACAAGGTTGAAGGAATCAGGCCAGTTGCTGCTGCCAACACACTCCGACGCCTCGTAGCTGAGGCTACTGGGATATGAGTCGCTTGCTCGCTTGCTTACTGTGTCAAGTAAAGTGATTCAGATTCAGATTCAGATTCAGATTCAGATTCAGATGTTTATTCAGGTAAGGTATATACATACAAGTGATGTTACATTAATGGATTGATATATAGATAGAGCTAGTACATACAAAGCCTAAAGCCACTATTACGCAATGCGTTTCGGGCAAACTGTAAACACTAAATCATCTGAAAACCCTGAAATTAGAGCGTGTGATTAACGCCCCCCCGATTAACACAAGACACCCATTCTCACACCAATTGGATAGTTGTTAGATATTTGTGATGGTCTGATAGCGTGTTATGGTTCCAATAACAGTTAACATGAAAACTGGCAAGTGAAACTTTGTCCGAAACAGAGGATATTCTAAAATCATTACTATATTGGTTAATAATCTAATAGTCTATGCTTAACTCGTTCTCTTTGAAACTGTTTAACAAATATGGTTTTCTGAAGAAAAGTTCTAGGGGGTACTCAAATAGTTTTTTAATTTAATTTTTCACAAGATTGAGAATAATACACTGTATTAACGTAACCGAACGTAATGAAATCTAACCTAACCTTAACATCAACTAACCATGGATAGTGAGTATATAACAGCATCAATACCATAGTGGTTTTCAAGTTATTATCTCCTAAGTTCCTCCTCCATAAGGACAGGTTGAACACTGACGACCTCAAATTTTTCATTGAGGGGAACATGAAAAATAGTCGAGCGAATGTCTCCAAGAGGGAGACTCCTTACCTGCCGTCCATGCTTGTGCTTAGTTATTGAAAAGGTCACTTATAATCTGTCCAGTAAGCTCAGTATACGACTCTTTGGATGGCACCTTTGATGGCACCTGTGCTGGTACCTGTGCTGGTACCTTTGATTTCCTCTCGGAGGACATTATCCAACTCCCAGAGCAATGAGGTAGTCCGTGGCTCATCCTTAACTGCTCCTAACACATTACTGGTCGATTAAAAGAATTCATATCAGTCACATAATTGTCTGGACTGAACTCTCCTTTTGGACTGAAATTTCAGGGTGTTCCTTGTGACTGTACCCTCCTGGGTGCTCCTTGTGACTGTACCCTCCTGGTGCTCCTTGTGACTGTACCCTCCTGGTGCTCCTTGTGACTGTACCCTCCAGGTGCTCCTTGTGACTGTACCCTCCTGGGTGCTCCTTGTGACTGTACCCTCCTGGTGCTCCTTGTGACTGTACCCTCCTGGGTGCTCCTTGTGACTGTACCCTCCTGGTGCTCCTTGTGACTGTACCCTCCTGGTGCTCCTTGTGACTGTACCCTCCTGGTGCTCCTTGTGACTGTACCCTCCTGGTGTTCCTTGTGACTGTACCCTCCTGGTGCTCCTTGTGACTGTACCCTCCTGGATGCTCCTCCATGACTGTACCGTTTTGGCTTCTTCTCTAGGAGTACATGCAAAAATCATCGACCTAAAGTTTACCAGTTAAATGACAGACAAAAAAAAGGATTTCACAGTCTATTCTCCCTTCTCACAAGATTCCTATCCCTCCCTAAGCTAATTTATTTGTTCAGATGTTTTTTGTCTTACAGCGGCAGCAATCTAAGTGAGTATGACTTTTATTTGACATGTGTGCTTGAAAAACATAAACAAACTACTCAAGCAAAGTGCTCTTCCTGTCAGACTTGGTGGCCTTGGTGCCCGCGCAGCTTCACAGATTGATCGGTAAGACTTCGTTTCCTCCATTGAATATAATGGCTTTGTAAAAAATATATCCTTTTAGAACACCTAGATGCTCTCACTGAGAGCTTCAATCAATCGCCTGTATTTACAATTCTTGCACCCGGTGCAGATTTGATAGAAAAACAGGAAGAGTCAAGTTGGGAATGTCCAGTTGAAGAGAGGACAGTTACGACCATACTCCTAGTTCGCCTAACAGCAAGCTAGCGCTTGCCTCACTGCCGTGGATGCCCCCCATGCAGGAAACTACCTTTTAGCAGTCCGCATCACTGAAACAATCACAAGTTTCAACCTACCGGGAATTTCCACCTTTGTGGTAAAATATAGACTGAGCGCCAATGTATTCACAACAACTCTGCAGCCAATCAACGTGACTTACATATCTGATCTGCAGCAGCTTTTAAGAGATTACATATAAAACCGAGTCAAATTTGGAACATGATCCAGAGATGCAGTTCTCTCCTAGCAAGTGATAACTCCCTACACATTTAGGCCAGGGTCAAAGAGGCCGTGTGGACTCCTAGCAGTGGAAGGGTTTAGTGCTGGGAGCGAGCGGTGAAGCGAGCAACGGGAGGTCGATATGCTGTGAGGTGCAGAGAGGAATATTACCCAAACCTCTCCGTCACGTCACGTTTACAGAGCCTCGTCATCCTGAGAGCAAAAGGAGATGAGACTGACTAATGTCTACATGCTAATGTAAAAAAGTTTTGGATATGAATTTAACAGGAATATAGGAAAGGCAATGAGGGAAACCAAAATATTAATGATGTTTACCGGATAAATAATGTCCTTGCATGTGTGTTTACCAGTGTTCCCAATTTGGACACATTTGTCATGTTTGTTTTGTTTGGAGCAGCAGCAGCCGGAGTGTGTGGAGGAGCATGTGGTAGCCCAGCATAGCGTAGGGGAGCATGTGGTAGCCCAGCATAGTGTTGGGGAGCATGTGGTACCCCAGCATAGTGTAGGGGAGCATGTGGTACCCCAGCATAGTGTAGGGGAGTATGTGGTACCCCAGCATAGTGTAGGGGAGCATGTGGTACCCCAGCATAGTGTAGGGGAGCATGTGGTACCCCAGCATAGTGTAGGGGAGCATGTGGTACCCCAGCATAGTGTAGGGGAGCATGTGGTACCCCAGCATAGTGTAGGGGAGCATGTGGTACCCCAGCATAGTGTAGGGGAGCATGTGGTACCCCAGCATAGTGTAGGGGAGCATGTGGTACCCCAGCATAGTGTTGGGGAGCATGTGGTACCCCAGCATAGTGTAGGGGAGCATGTGGTACCCCAGCATAGTGTTGGGGAGCATGTGGTAGCCCAGCATAGTGTTGGGGAGCATGTGGTACCCCAGCATAGTGTAGGGGAGCATGTGGTACCCCAGCATAGTGTTGGGGAGCATGTGGTAGCCCAGCATAGCGTAGGGGAGCATGTGGTAGCCCAGCATAGCGTAGGGGAGCATGTGGTACCCCAGCATAGTGTAGGGGAGCATGTGGTACCCCAGCATAGTGTAGGGGAGTATGTGGTACCCCAGCATAGTGTAGGGGAGCATGTGGTACCCCAGCATAGTGTAGGGGAGCATGTGGTACCCCAGCATAGCGTAGGGGAGCATGTGGTACCCCAGCACAGTATGAAGGAGCATGTGGTAGCCAGCAGAGCATGAAGGAGCATATGGTAGCCTATGTAGCCGTCGCCAGACAACCACTACACGCTCCCGGCCACCGCCCAAGGTTACCAGGAACGCCCACGTATCCGCTGCGGTATTACCTTAATTACGTCCTCCCTCACTATCACTTCAAATTCCATTAATCACCTTCACCACGAGACCAGCTCCTATCAGCCGTCCCAGCGCCCCCTCACCCGTCACACAGTGTCTTGTGAGGCTGCTAGTTATAAGGAGGAAGTGGTGAGTTAATACGACTATATAACACTTGGATGGGATAGAAGGACAGGGAATTGGGATAGGACGGTGGGTAGAAACGGTGCCTAACCACGTGAACCATCGGGATTCGAGCCCCAGAATGCAAGAATCGAGGCTGTACCGGCCAACCCAAGTGGATAGATATTTTATGTCGAGTCTACATTTTGACTGTAAGATCATGCAGCTGAAGTTGGTGCATGGAAGGGGTTTGTGATCATAATTTAGCATTGTGTCATGAGGTTAGGAGTCGATAGGCACGACGAGGAGTGTGTCAAGGGGGGTAAAGAGTCGACAGAGAGACAGACAACCTAGAGGGCATTATGAGATAATGGGGCCGAGGTAGGACAGACGTTTTACGACGAACCTGTTAATGGACGTCTCATCTCGTGATGGAACTGGATGAGTTGGACCGCCAATGGAGGGAATTGGGCAAGAGAATAATAAGAGAAGAATGAGTAGGACAAATTAAGGCAACTCTAGTAATTACTAAGTGGTGATTAGGCATGTGATATCGCAGAACGAAAGCATGGTAGAATATTTAAGTATTCTACTTAGCAGGTAGAATATGACCGAATTCTACAGGTAACGACCAGGATATGGACCATATCCTGGTCCATATCCTGGTAGATCGGTAATGAGGAGGAAGGAGCGTGTGCGAGGGGCGAACAGAGTCGTAGGGTGAAGGGCAAGGGTGGTGAGGAACCAGTAATGGGGGAGGAATGGTATGCTTTTAATGGGGGTGGCAGACAATGGAGGAAGTATTCAAAGAATTGAAATATGATCAGAGTTTCAGGGGGGGGGGGGCAGAGAACGGATTGAAAATCGATGTAAAGTGGAACCTAGTTGGGACAGGAGGTCACATGATGGCCAGACTGGAAGACTGAAGAGTGAGAGCCAGACTGGAAGACTGATGAGAGAGAGCCAGACTGGAAGACTGATGAGAGAGAGCCAGACTGGAAGACTGAAGAGAGAGCCAGACTGGAAGACTGAAGAGAGATGGCCAGACTGGAAGACTGATGAGAGAGAGCCAGACTGGAAGACTGAAGAGAGATGGCCAGACTGGAAGACTGAAGAGAGATGGCCAGACTAGAAGACTGATGAGAGATGGCCAGACTGGAAGACTGATGAGAGAGAGCCAGACTGGAAGACTGAAGAGAGATGGCCAGACTGGAAGACTGATGAGAGAGAGCCAGACTGGAAGACTGATGAGAGAGAGCCAGACTGGAAGACTGAAGAGTGATGGCCAGACTGGAAGACTGAAGAGAGATGGCCAGACTGGAAGACTGAAGAGAGATGGCCAGACTAGAAGACTGATGAGAGATGGCCAGACTGGAAGACTGAAGAGAGATGGCCAGACTGGAAGACTGAAAGAGAGAGCCAGACTGGAAGACTAAAGAGAGATGGCCAGACTGGAAGACTGAAGAGTGAGAGCCAGACTGGAAGACTGAAGAGAGAGCCAGACTGGAAGACTGAAGAGTGAGAGCCAGACTGGAAGACTGAAGAGAGAGCCAGACTGGAAGACTGATGAGAGAGAGCCAGACTGGGAGACTGAAGAGAGATGGCCAGACTAGAAGACTGATGAGAGATGGCCAGACTGGAAGACTGAAGAGAGATGGCCAGACTGGAAGACTGAAGAGAGATGGCCAGACTGGAAGACTGAAGAGAGATGGCCAGACTGGAAGACTGAAGAGAGATGGCCAGACTGGAAGACTGAAGAGAGATGGCCAGACTAGAAGACTGATGAGAGATGGCCAGACTGGAAGACTGAAGAGAGATGGCCAGACTGGAAGACTGAAAGAGAGAGCCAGACTGGAAGACTAAAGAGAGATGGCCAGACTGGAAGACTGAAGAGAGATGGCCAGACTGGAAGACTGATGAGAGATGGCCAGACTGGAAGACTGAAGAGAGATGGCCAGACTGGAAGACTGAAAGAGAGAGCCAGACTGGAAGACTGAAGAGAGATGGCCAGACTGGAAGACTGAAGACAGATAGCCAGACTGAAAGACTGAAGACAGATAGCCAGACTGAAAGACTGAAGAGATAGCCAGATTATGGAGGAACTAGAGGGCTGTAGAAAGATAGCAACATGATGGAGGAACCAGCATTTTAGCAAACTTTGTGGTTTTTTTATGCAGTAATCAAATCGTGGGTTGTGCTTTCCGTAGAGTTTTAAGCTTAAACTTGTCATTCACCCGCCTCACAAGATCACAGTTTACTGGAAAGCGATTAAACGTGATTCATTGATGTTACATTATTACATTTTAATAAACAGAGAGAGAGAGAGAGAGAGAGAGAGGAGAGAGAGAGAGAGAGAGAGAGAGAGAGAGAGAGAGAGAGAGAGAGAGAGAGAGAGAGAGAGAGAGAGAGAGAGGAGAGAGAGAGAGAGAGAGGATGTGAACAATGAGGGAGAGAGGAAGGGAAGAGAATGGAGGGTAGAGTAGGAGAGAAAGAGGGAAGAGAAGGGAGGAAAAGGGAGAAGAAGAGACCAAGGAAAAGGGGGGTGAAAAGTAGGTGAGATGTGAAGGGGGGAGAGGGAGGGAGGGGGTAAAGTTTGGGAGAAAGAGTAAAGTTAGTGATACATTGAGACAAAAGTTTGTCTCGTGTGCAATGCAACAACACGGCGAGTAATACGTGAAGAACACGGCGAGTAATACATGAAGAACACGGCGAGTAATACGTGAAGAACACGGCGAGTAATACGTGAAGAACACGGCGAGTAATACGTGAAGAACACGGCGAGTAATACGTGAAGAACACGGCGAGTAATACGTGAAGAACACGGCGAGTAATACGTGAAGAACACGGCGAGTAATACATGAAGAACACGGCGAGTAATACGTGAAGAACACGGCGAGTAATACGTGAAGAACACGGCGAGTAATACGTGAAGAACACGGCGAGTAATTCGTGAAGAACACGGCGAGTAATACGTGAAGAACACGGCGAGTAATACATGAAGAACACGGCGAGTAATACGTGAAGAACACGGCGAGTAATACGTGAAGAACACGGCTAGTAATACGTGAAGAACACGGCGAGTAATACATGAAGAACACGGCGAGAGTAATACGTGAAGAACACGGCGAGTAATACGTGAAGAACACGGCTAGTAATACGTGAAGAACACGGCGAGTAATACGTGAAGAACACGGCGAGTAATACGTGAAGAACACGGCGAGTAATACGTGAAGAACACGGCGAGTAATACGTGAAGAACACGGCGAGTAATACGTGAACAACACGGCGAGTAATACATGAAGAACACGGCGAGTAATACATGAAGAACACGGCGAGTAATACGTGAAGAACACGGCGAGTAATACGTGAAGAACACGGCGAGTAATACGTGAAGAACACGGCGAGTAATACGTGAAGAACACGGCGAGTAATTCGTGAAGAACACGGCGAGTAATACGTGAAGAACACGGCGAGTAATACGTGAAGAACACGGCGAGTAATTCGTGAAGAACACGGCGAGTAATACGTGAAGAACACGGCGAGTAATTCTTCATGTATGTATGTATATATATATATATATATATATATATATATATATATATATATATATATATATATATATATATATATATATATATAATATAATATTATATAATAAGCCCGTAAATTTACCATGTTGTTGTGTTGTTTTAAATTCAGTTACTCAGAACAAAAAGTTCCAAGTAGCACGGGCTATGGTGAGCCCGAGAAATATACAGTTTTTGCACAGGCTTATAATCTCTTTGGGTGAGGTGATACAGAACAAGTGACGACGAAACAAGTGGATGAATAGCATAACATACGGTGAATTGATAGGGTATTACATGGCTCAATATAAGCCGCTTATATTCATGCGGCTTTCATGCCCGGGATTCGAACGTGAAATTCCGAATTGTGAGTCGAGAACGAAGCCGACTGCGCAACAGAGACCCCCTATTCTTGCTCGTTGGTTAATAAGCTATTGTGGTGGATTTTACAACCCTCCAGAGGCTGAGTGATCAATTGCTGACAGTTAGAGTTGTGTAATGTTCATTGCATAAAAGGAAAATCAGCAACATACCATTTCATATATGAGAATTAATTATTCTCCAAACATAACACATTTAGTCAGCCTCTGAAGTTTAGGAGCTAACGAAGTTTAACCCAAGGGTTTGTAGTCCTGCTTGTCGCCCTTCACAGAACTTACACCTGCCTGTCTGTCATTGTTTGTTGACTGTCTGATGGTCTGTTAGTGTCCTTGTTAATCTCTGCTGGTCTGTTAGTGTTTTTGTTGACTGTCTGCTGGTCTGTTAGTGTTTTTGTTGACTGTCTGCTGGTCTGTTAGTGTTTTTGTTGACTGTCTGCTGGTCTGTTAGTGTTTTTGTTGACTGTCTGCTGGTCTGTTAGTGTTTTTGTTGACTGTCTGCTGGTCTGTTAGTGTTTTTGTTGACTGTCTGCTGGTCTGTTAGTGTTTTTGTTGACTGTCTGCTGGTCTGTTAGTGTTTTTGTTGACTGTCTGCTGGTCTGTTAGTGTTTTTGTTGACTGTCTGATGGTCTGTCAGTGTCCATGTTGATCTCTGCTGGTCTGTTAGTGTTTTTGTTGACTGTCTGCTGGTCTGTCAGTGTCCTTGCTGATCTCTGCTGGTCTGACAGTGTCCTTGCTGATGTCTGCTGGTCTGACAATGTCCTTGTTGACTGTCTGCTGGTCTGCCTACTTGTCTTTCCGCAGTAATGTCTGCCAGCCTTCCTGTCGGCCGGAAAGAA